AAAATACAGAACAAGAAAATCTTTTAGAGGGAGAAATGCTATTGGAACTACATGAAAAGGAATTCAATATACATATATATATACACACACACACACTTAGATCTTTTCAGCAGATTAAGAAAGAGATCAAGAAAAACAAACTTGACACCAAGAAAACCATACAGAAAAATAAGGAAAACATGGACAGAACTCTAGAAACATTTAGGAAAAGAATAAAAGACCCAACTTATAAAATATATAAAAATTAGAAGTCATGTACATAGAAGTCCAGATGATTAACACTAAAATTTTACAAATGCATTGGCAGACTCCTGTTGGCCTTGAGATGAGAGAGAGAAGAGGAAGGGCTGGTTGGCCCAAAGTTAAGGGAGACCTGGGAACTCCTGAGTCCATCCAAGGACACTGACCTAGCCACTGGGGATTAAATCTGAGAGTGAAGTGTTCAACTGATATGAAGTGTGGGGAGGTGTGCAAGAATGCCCAAACTTGCAGATAGTATCCATTTGATGTAGCTTGGATGGCTTGATGATCAGAACTCAACTAGAGGAAGATAAAGAAATTTGATACAGGAAGCAAGTGTAAATTGCTGTAATTCGATGACCTTTACTTATAGATGTAGTAACTCAAAATACCTAGAGGGAAGGAGTCTTCAAATCAAGGTATCCTCTCAGTAAAAACGGTTGATAGAAATGGGCAACTTCAACATTGGATACCTAAAATGGGGGGCTATAAAGGCACAAAGTGGCTGGCTTACAAGTTTTCAAGAGAGAGTTTAGTTTTAGAGTGTGTGTGTGTATGTGTGTGTGTCAGAATCCCCAATGAATAGTTTTCATCTTGTCTAGATGTGTCTGGTAAAAGGAGATGGGGCTACGATTCTTTTGACTCAATAGTGAGCAATTGTTATCATGACTAGTTTTGATTGTCACAACTGTAAAGGTAGAAGTTGCCTAACAAAAAGGTGGCGGGGGTGGGGTGGGGGAGTAGTTAAGCTTACAGTCCAGGAACAGAGGACCCTAGGGAACAGAGGACCCAAGTAGGAAGAGCACGAACAGAACATGGTATCCTAACCAGAGAAGCAGTGACACCAGAGATGGAGGCAGAGATGATGGCATACAAGAACAGAGCATCTGAGGACTCTAGACTTATGGAATGGGAAAGGCTGTGTGCTGGTGGGCAAGGGGCTGGTTTGCAAAACGTGTCTTCTGGTTGTTTAAATGATTATATATTTCTGCGTGTTTTTGTGTACATAAAAAAAAAAAGCAGGGGGAATAGGGGAATAGAAGCAAATACTGTTAATCGATGATGTATGGGGGGGATTTTAATCATTGCAATGAAACAAAATGCGACTGGTTGAGTTCAAAACCAATGTTCTGCCATATAAATTAACACTCAGTTTACAAGAATAGCTAAAAAATAGTAACTCATTGGAAGGGCAAAAGAATAGAAATGAATCAATTAAACATAAAGTAAGAAAACTAAAGGTAAATCTTTTCATACTGATCTGCTAGAGAAATTATCAGAAAAAAAACAAAGAATAAAAATTCTGTGAGACATCATCAAGAGAATTACATACATGTGTATAGAACACTTAAACAGAAAGAGGCCATAAAAAGCACTAGGAAAATTGCTAAAGGTTTGTTGGAAAAGAACTTCTCTTAATTCATGAAAGATGAGAAGTTATTCATTAAAATAACTCAATGAAACTCAAATAGGGTATACTTCAAGAAACTCAAAAGACAAAGATAAAAGGAAGAGAACAGCTTATGAAAAAAAAATTAGTCACCTACCAAGGAAAATCAGTAACACTAAGCAGTGATTTATCAACAGAAATCATGCAGTCAAGAAGGCAATGTGATAATCTATAGAAATTCCTGAAAAAAAAAAAAAAAATGAGAACCAAGACTTACATACTTGGCATTGTTCCTCATATGATGGTGAAATTAGGACATTTTCAATTTCCAGCTAAACAGAAATTAATGGAATTTTAAAAAACCAGACCAATGATTATAGAAAAAGTAACGAGATCCCCTTACACAAAGAGCCAACATTAGCAGACTACAGTCTGAGATTAAAATACACTATGACACCCAGAAATCAACCCAAATATAGAATATAAAACAAACCTACAAGACTGAAAATACAGACATCAACTTGTAAATGATGTCAACTATAATGTAAAAAGAGTGAATAAGTAGTGTAGTTACAGACTTCTAGATGGAGAGGAAGTCAAGATAACAGACTGTTTTAAACTTAGATAATAAATGACATTGTGACCACAAAGAAAAATAAATCTTAGTGCAACAAAAAAGACAATCATAAAGATTCAGTAACATTAATACAACAGCAATAAATGAAATAAAATCAATACACAAAATGAACTCAGTACAGGAAAATATATATGGCATAAATTAACCATCTGTTGTTGTTGCTAAGTGCTATCAAAGCAGATTTTGACTCATAAAGACCCTCCAATGAGCGGTGGATTTGAACCGCCAGCCTTGCAGTTATCAGTCTAGTACTTATCCTATAGTGCCACACTAAGACTCATTGTTGTTCCTGTTAAGCGCTATCAAGTCAGTTCTGACTCATTAGTACCCACACAAAAAAAGATATACAACAGTAAAATGTATACCTAACAATAATTTCATGGAACGTTAATGGATTAAATGCATCAGTCAAGAGACAGAGAGTAGCAGAACATACAAACCTTAGATACAAAGAAAAAAATAAGCTATAAATCAAAGGATGGGAAAACATAAATCAAGCAAATGGCAACCAAAAAAGAGCATGAGAAGCAATATTAATTTTTGATAAAACAGACTTCAAAGGAAAAAACCTAGCAAAAGAGTCAGTCCAATATGAGGACATAAACACAATAAATATCTACACATCTATTGAAAGAACCCCGAAGTACACAGATCAAATTTAATGTGAACTGAAAAAGAAAAAGAAATAACCCCACAATTAATAGATTTTAATACACTACTTTCCATGAAGGTCAGAACAACTAGAAATTCAAAAAAGATACAGAAGAGTTAAACGACAATTAACCAGCTTGATATAACAAACAATATATAGAAACTCCAAACAATACAACATATTTTTTCCCCCAGTGCCCATGGAATATTATCTATAATTTTTGTTGTTACATGCTGTTGAGTCGGTTCCGACTCATAGCGACCCTGTACAGGGGTTCCGAGACTGTAAATCTTTACGGGAGCAGAAAGCCTCATCTTTCTCCAGCAAAACAGCTGGTAGTTTTGAACTACTGACCTTGCGGTTCACAATCCAATTCGTAACCACTATGCTACCAGAGCTCCTTAATATTATCTATAATAGGACACATATATGTTGGGTCACAAAGTAACCTTCAATAAATTTTAAAGCATCGAAATACTACAAAGCATCTTCTGAGATCACAATGCTCAGAAATCAACAACAGGGAAAAAAGGGGGGGGGGAAATTAAAATATATGGAAACTGAACATTCTGCTTAAAAATTACTAGGTAAAAGAAGAAATAAAAAAATGAAGTGAAAAAAATCCCTAGAGTCAAGTGATAATGAATATAGTAGAACAAATGAGGGTAAAGTTAGGAAAATGTCCTAGCCATAACAAAACAACTTAAGGGAATGAGACACTGAGTCTAGGGCCTGAGAACCAATCTCAGGGTACATTAAGGTCAGGTGGCATAACACAAAGATGAGTCTACAGTTGGGTAGCAACTGAGGTCTTAGAAGCTCATGAGCAGCCATCTAAGGTGCAGCTATTGGTCTCTCTCCATCTGAAGCATATAAGAATGAAGAATATCAAAGATAGATGGAAACAATCAGTACAAAGTACTAATGGATCACATAACCCCAAGCCTCCATGACTCTGAGACCAGAAGAACTAGATGGTGCCTGTCTATAACTGCCAACTGCTCTGAAAAGGATCACAACAGGAAGTCCTAGGTAAAGTGAGAGAAAAATGTGGAATAAAACTCAAAGTAATAATCTAAAAAAAACGACCAGGCTTACTAGCCTGGTAAGAGTTAGAACTCCCAATACTACGGCTCTTAGTCATCCTTTAACACTTTTAAGCTACCTTGATGGCTTAATTTTCAATCAAGCAATAGACAGACATATTAGGTGGAATCAACAGCACTTAACAACAACAACATTACGTGTAACACCACAACCAGGAAAGTACTCACTCCCTAGAACATCCAACCATATGCGACCAAAGGGAAAAATTTGTCCATGGATAAAACTCAAAAGTCAGGAAGGAAAAGAAAAGAAGGACAAAGGGTTACAGGGCAGTAAACACAGAGAAGAAGTGAGAAAGTGCTGTTACTTGCAATCAATGCCACAAAACAAAATCCGTATGAAATGCTGAATGGAAAACTAATCTGTCTGTAAACAACTTTGTTGTTTTTCAAATTACAATAAAAAATGGAGAAAAAAAGAGAAATATGAACTACTACATATACATATTATATCTAGACATAATACTGTATATGCATCTATTGTAAATTATTGTTGTTGTTAAGTGCTGTTGAGTCAATTGCGACTAATAGCGATTCTGTATGGGGTTTCCAATGAGCAGCTGGTGAGTGTGAACCACTGATCTGTGGTTCAAATGGATTTTGTTGTCCAGAGCTTTATCCTACAATGTCACACCCCCCACACAATTAAGTTAAAAAGAAAAATAATACACTATGCATACTATTTAAATATTATCAACATTATCTTTGTTGTATGTAACCCTCCCCAATCATATCCTTTTCCTTCCCTTTCTAATAAATGTTAAGGCTGTCATTTTCAAGTTTGTTATACTTTTACCACAAATTTATGTATATTAACCCATCTCAGTAGTCAATACCAAATCATAGTGATCCTATATGGAAAGCCTAAGGACTCCTGAGGCGGTAAATCTTTATGGAAGTAGACTGCTTCATCTTTGTCCTACAAAGCACTAGTGGGTTTGAATTGCTAACCTTTCAGTCGGCAATACAGTGCACAACCCACTGTGCCACAAGGGCTCCTACATATGTATGTGTACACACACACACAGAAACACAGAAGAGTATGTAAAAAAGTATGCCTCAGCTACCTAGTGCTGCTATAACAGAAATACCACAAGTAGATGGCTTTGGCAAACAGAAATTCATTCTCAGTTTGTTGTTAAATGCTGTCGAGTCAGTTCCAACTCATAGCAACTCTGTATAGGGTTTCAGAGGAGTGGCTGGTGAGCTTGAACCTCCAAGCTTGCAGTTCAAACTAGCCTTAGCAATCCAGTACATTAACTCACAGGACCACACCAGGACTCATAGTTTGTTGTTGTTGTTAAGTGCCGTCGAGTCGATTCTGACCCATAGCAACCCTGCATAGGGTTTCCAAGGAGCAGGTGGTGAGCTTGAACTACAGATCTTGAATTTCAAATGACTTTGCGGTTTGATGCTTTAACCCACAGTGCCACACCAGGACTCACAATTTAGGAGTCTAAAATCCAAATTCAGTGTACCGGCTCTGGGAAAAGGTCCTTGTCACCATCTTTCAGCACCTGTAGGCCCAGATTTCCTT